GTGGCTGAGCAGGGCCGAGTTTGTTGTGTTTCTTTTCCTCATCTTATGGGAAGATAATATTAGAGGAAGTGGCAGAGAAGAACTATCTAATGGAGTTAGCAACCCTGAATGGGAAAAAGACGCATGGATGCACATAAGCAATGGTAGTATGTTGAGAGTGTGATGGAAACTCAAGTACCTTCAGCTGCCCTACAGCTAAGCCCTTCTGCAAATGCTTTGGCTATTTTTGTTATCTTAGCGGCAGTAGAGCCACCATTGGGTAGTGTCATCCACTGTTTATTACTAGACTTTCATAGCCAGAAACAGTGATTTGGCTAAGACAAAATGAAGCGATCGCTGTCCTGGCATGGTGCAGATGATAAACCCTCCCCGTTTTCCGGTATGAGTAGAAACCTTGATATTGCCGCTTGGTTTAGGGCAGATCTAAAGCTGCTACTTTGGGGAAGACGAGAGTAAAAGAGTCTTCAGGGCAGAAGGCAGAATAAGTCAGATCTATGTTCCAACTTTATTATCTCTGTGGGAAAATAACTCTTTCTTGAAGTCTAAGTTTTTCTCCCTTGAAAAAGTGAGGTGATAGTAGGATGTCCCTCACAGGGCAGGTGTACACATCAGGGACATATATACTCAGGGCCTGGCATGGTGCCTGGCATCTGGTAGACACTGAAGAAGCACTGTTGCCAGGAAGAGTAGGCTTGGTGGATGCGGGCAAGTGATGGGTTGAAGATACCATGTATGCAAGCCCAAATATGAGGCAATGCCCCATTTCCCAATGGGTAGGTTACACACATTTTGTGTCCTTTTTTTTTTTTTTTGCCATCATATATATATATATATATATATATTTTTTTTTTTTCAGATGGCATCTCGCTCTGTCACCCATGGTTGGAGTGCAGTGGTGCGATCTCGGCTCACTGCAACCTCCACCTTTCTGGTTCAAGCAATTCTCCCTGCCTCAGCCTCCTGAGTAACTGGGATTACATTATGCCTGGCTAATTTTTCTATTTTTTAGTTGAGACAGAGTTTCGCTGTGTTGGCCAGGCTGGTCTTGAACTCCTGACCTCAGGTGATCTCCCCGCCTTGGCCTCCCAAAGTGCTGGGATTACAGGTGTGAGCCACCCCGCCCGGCTTGAATTTTTTTTTTTTCTTTGAGATGGAGTCTCGCTCTGTTGCCCAGGCTGGAGTGCAGTGGTGTGATCTTGGCTCAGTGCAATCTCTGCCTCACAGGTTCAAGCAATTCTCCTGCCTCAGCCTCCCAAGTAACTGGAATTACAGGCGTGTGGCACCATGCCTGGCTAATTTTTGTATTTTTAGTAGAGACAAAGTTTCACATGTTGGCCAGGCTGGTCTTGAACTCTTGACCTCATGATCCGCCCACCTCAGCCTCCCAAAGTGCTGGGATTACAGACGTGAGCCACCATGCCCGGTGGCTTGAATATATACTTTTAATGATGCAAGTGAAATAGTCACATTTCTAGTTAAGAATTTAATTTATTGACTTAGTTACTTGTTTGTTTGTTTATTTATTTGTTTGAGACAGAATCTTGCTCTGTCACTGAAGTTGGAGTGTAGTGGTGCGATCTTGGCTCGTTGCAACCTCCATTTCCGGGTTCAAACGATTCTCCTGCCTCAGCGCTGGGACTACAGGCACGTGCCACCATGCCTGACTAATTTTTGTATTTTTAGTAGAGACAGGTCACCATACTGGCCAGGCTGGTCTGGAACTCCTGACCTCAAGTGATTTGCCTTGCGTGGGCCTCCCAAAGTGCTGGGATTACAGGAGTGAGCCACCACGACTGGCCAGTTATATTTAGAATCACATGCATAAATATTCTTATTTAGGAATCTTGCCTTTTTCCTTTTTGTTACTCATTATTCAGACTCTTTGTTATCAACTGTCTTTGTCATCACTTGTGCTCCCCATCCTTTTTTTTTTTTTTTTGAGACAGAGTTTCGCTCTGTTGCCCAGGCTGGAGTGCAGTGGCACAACCTCGGCTCACTACAACTTCTGCCTCCCAGGTTCAAGTGATTCTCCTGCCTCAGCCTCCCAAGTAGCTGGGATTACGGGCATGCACCACCACACCCAGCTTATTTTTGTATTTTTAATGGAGACAGGGTTTCACCATGTTGGCCAGGCTGAGTCTTCAGCTCTTGATCTCAGGCGATCTGCCTGCCACGGTCTCCTAAAGTGCTGGAATTACCGGTGTGAGCCACCATGCCCGGCCTTGTGTCCCTTTTTGAATGATCGGACTCAGTCTTCCAGAACACTTCATCTTGCTTCTGTCCAACTGCCTTTGAGATTTAGGACTTTTTGAGGCTGTATGCTATGCTCACTGGAAATGTTATCTTAAGCCTTCATAGCCATGTGCTGTTTGTCATCTCCACAAAACCGACTTCTTTTATTGCTTTTAAAAAGGATCTTCATGGGGCTATGCAAGGAAATGTTCATGCATTTTAGAGACGCATACTAAAGTAGGAAGGAGTGAAATGGCATGAAGCCTGCAATGCTCTTTAAAAGATTTCGGCAAAGAGAAAAAAAGTAAAACACAATAAATGAAGCAAATGTCAAAAAATCTAGGTATTGTGCACATGTACCCTAGAACTTAAAGTATAATAATAATAATAAAAAAAGATAAAAAACAAAAAAACAAAAAGAACATTCAATGATATTGCCTATAGGCTACCCTTTCTTAAAAAAAAAAAAAATCTGGGTAATTGTTAATCTCCATAATTATATGGAGAGTCACTGTGCTATGTGCTCCTTTTGTCATAATAAAATTTTAAAATATAAAAATAAAAATGGTCACAATAAAATTTAAAATGGGCCGGGCCTGGTGACTCACGCCTGTAATCCCAGCACTTTGGGAGGCTGAGGCAGATGGATCACTTGAGGTCAGGAGTTCGAGACCATCCTGGCCAACACGGTGAAACCCTGTCTCTACTGAAAATACAAACATTAGCCGCTTGTGGTGGTGGGCGCATGTAATCCCAGCTACTTGGGGGGCTGAGGCAGGAGAATTGCTTGAAACCAGGAGATGATGGAGGTTGCAGTGAGCTGAGGTTATGCCACTGCACTCCAGCCTAGACAACAAAGCAAGACCCTGTCTCAAAAAAGAAAAAAAAAAAGTTTAAAATGAGCTTTAAAAGTCTGGCTTACAGGCTGGGTGTAGTGGCTCACACCTATAATCTCATCTCTTTGCGAGGCTGAAATGGGCAGATTGCTTGAGTACAGGAGTTCGAGACCAGCCTGGGCAACATGGTGAGACCCTGTCTCTTAAAAAAAAAAAAAAGAAAAGGACTTGCTTACAATATCTCTCATACTTGTAATTGTAGTTGGAGGTCATACCTTCAAGAATAACTACAAAAGCTTTTATTTTTCTTTGTAATAAAAAACCAAATCAACAAAATCTATTCTTCCAGACAACCTCTATAAGCATTCCAAACTAAAATTGATGAGATTCCCTTCAGAATATTTTGTTGTTCCAAATAAAGAAATTCTGTAATATAAAGAGCTTTTTATGGACACAAGTATAAGGTGATGCCTTATGCTTGCCCATCCATCCTATTTTTCTCTATGCTTTGCTGATCTGAGTAGACAGGGTTGGTAATGACCCCAAATGGAACACTTCTCTAAGTGACAGGAAGATCTCATGCGGTGTCCTTCATCAGAAGTACCCATTACCTAGTGCCCTTGTTGGCACTGGAGCTGGAAGGCTCAGGACAGCAGGGAACAGGCAGCCCACAGTTCTGGAAGCAGGCCTGGTGGCAAAGGCCTGGATATGGAGTGTCAGTGGTGGCAGAAGAGGGGAGAGTCACTGTTTTCTTCATTCGTTAATGCCTCTCCCCTGGAGGGAGGGCAAGACCCATGGTCTACACAGCCAAAGTGAGAGGGTGGTTGAGCAATTCTCCAGCAAACTCAGGCAAAGTCAGGCAAGCATATTTAGGCCTAGGAGTCCTGGTTACCACAGCCTAAAGTGATAGGAACAGAAAGTGAAAGGAACAGAAAACCAGTCCGTATTTGTTTTATGTGAATTTTGTAGCAATTGCTTTTCCAAAGGAGGAAAGAAAACGTTATTCTTTTTAAAACACGGTTGAAGAAGAGGATGCTTTTCCTATGGACATGGTAGGCCATTTACCGACGAGTTATTATGATAAAAAATACCTACTGAGCCTGTATGGGAAGCCTGGAATTCTTTTACTTTATTGTATTTTCCTCTAAGGATATATTGCGTTATTCCACAACAGGCTGGTCACAATCTTTGAGAGATTTACTTCTGAGACTTTTTGGTGTGGCTTCATTCACACCTCACATTTCATAAGAGAGACAATTTTGACTACTTTGAAAGAACCCTCCCTCAAACATAAACATCACAGCATCCTGACTTCAGAGTGTCTATCTCAACATTTCAGTGCTAGAAGGTTTTTTGGAATGCAGACAAATAAGATAAACAAAATCCCAGTGTGCTTAAACTGAGACCAAGTTCTTTTTTGGAAGATGTGTGTGTGTATGCATGTGTGTGTGTCTGTGTTTTGATGAGCTAAGTGTTGATTATAACCCAAAAAGAAGGAAAAGTGTGAGATTAGATAAGTGTCTTCTAGATTCATTACTGCCGTGTGCATTCTGTGAAATGGGCTTAGAGGTCACTGGTTGTAGCTGCAGGATAAAGTTCAGTTGTTTATTCTCAGTCTGATTGGGCCACCATTGAAAACAGAGTGTGAACTACTGTCCAGAAGCCCTCTGTGAACTTCAGGTCTGCCTCAGGAGGGACGCTTCCAGCCAGGGAGCGCGTGATGAAGTGATGAAGTCTGCAGGCATTGCTTGGGCAACGCCAAGTGGCCACTGGCCAGGGTAGAAGTTAAACCAGGAGATGGCTGTCAAATGCAGTTGTTAGGTTTGGCACATCTTTCTCAAACTGCTGAGCTGAGCAGGAAAGAGAGACGTTTGTTTGTGGATTTATCTCATCTATAAGACACTCTGATAGATGAACTCTGTATCAGTTCTATGTAGAACTCTGCATCAGTTCTATAAGGCACTCTTTAATCTGAATCTTTCTATTTGCTCAAGAGAAAAACAAGTCTGACTTGCATCCCATTGAAGATTTAGATTGGACAGTTTACATCTTTCACCTGCGCCCCCGTAGCGTCCTCTACTGATTTTTCTGTCCTACATTGATTTTTCCAGCAACCTGGGAAGTAACCTCATAGGTGGTTTGGGATGTCTTTTGGCTGTGCTTAAAAATTTCTGACAGATTTGCTGCACATTTTAGGAATATGTTTCCTCTGAATTGTGATGATTTCTTACACTACATTTGCAAGCATGTGTATGCATCTGCAGGAAACATAGCCTGGCTCTGTGAAGGAATACTGCTGTGACCGCAAAACTGTTTCTGTGGAATTTTCTCCGGTGTGGTCATCCTGCCTTCAGGTCAGTGAATAGATGGTGTTTGAACAGTGTCTGGCACAGATACTTTAACCTTAAAGCTTAATGTATAACTGGTATTTTTTCCCCTTCTGTGTCAGCAATTGGCAACGGGACACTGTAAATAAGGATTCTGGTTTGTAAATGGACGTCTGTTCCTCCAGGGGAGGGGAAGGCTGGAGTAAGCAGTTTTGAAATTCATGCTGTAAGTGATAAGATAATTTGAGTAACCTGTAAGACCTGTGGATTCACAGGTTTCAAAAACAGGAAAGTCTCTTGTTTGAAAACCCTCTAAAGCAACATGTGGGCTTAGAAAAAAAGCCGGCTTGTGGTTTGGTGATTGTACTTCCTTATTGATATAATGGCCACTGATGCAAGGCCTCCTGGGATTGCAGCGTGGTGACCGCAGGCCTGACGGTTACCCTGACTGGGTTCTGAAACAGCCCGGGGCTTTCAGCACAGATGAGAAGTCTAAAAATTTCCCTTTTCATTTCCTCTCTTGTGTGACTTTGTCATTTTTTAAAAAACTGGTCACAGAAAAGGGAATTTTGCCCATGCTTTTAAGGAGTTTATCTCGCCTGAGTAGCTTCCCCGCCACTCCTCTAAAATCCCTCCCCAAAAACCCCAAGTTAAAAAAAAAAAGATCTATTCTTGTAGATTTTTTTTTGTGTGGGTCTATGTTTCATTCATCTGCTTTTAGGCTGGATTTATAACAAGCAGATCTTTTAAAATGGTATGATTTTAAAATAAAATTTAAAAAACACGCTGAGATCTTTCCATAACTTTGGCTTCTGGGAGTTGAAAGCACAGGTACGTGCTACATCTTCTGGAAACCTAACCCTCGCACGCCAAGTGGGAGGCTCTTTTGGTCAAATACTCCCAGGACTTATGCTAGAGTTCTGAAATAAGTGAAAGCAGATGCCGTTCCTGTGCGACACAGCTAACTGACCGCAGCCCAGAAAGTTTGGTTGCCTAGTTGTGTGGGGGCTGTCTTAAGCCCTGAAAACATTCTGCATCAGAACTCAGCTTCATAAAGGGGTTCCTGCCCTCCTGTCTGTCCTGGAGGTAGTCATGCATGACAGCTTGTGGGCTGATGGTGCATTTAGGCAGCTGCTTTTCCTCCCTCCCTCCAGGAGGAAAATAGAGCAAAAAGGTAGAACTTACTTCCACACCCAAGTTTCTCCTGAAAGCACTGTGCCTGTTTTGTTTGCTACACGTCTTAGGTATGTATGTTTGCATCTACATAAGCCCAGAGCTCAGGTACGCACAGTGCTCAGGTACACGCAGTGCACACACTTGCTAGCCACATATACTCTCAGTGCACACACAGTGCTCGTGCACACATGGTAGTGCATGATGAATCCACATAGCATCCATGCACACACACAGTACCCACACACACGCGGTACATACACATGGCACCCCTGCACATACACAGTAGACATGCATAACCCAGAAAGTGGTTCTTGCTCTCTCTGTAACCTTAAGACTTTGGCAGTTTTTGTTAACTCCCACACTTGGCAGGATTACATTTCCTTGCGGCCTCAATGACGTGATAGGGCAGATTTATTGGGCTTACAGAAAAAAAGAGAGAGGAGAGAGAGTGAGCAAGCGAATAGTAAACTCTGCTGTGCAGTCAACCTGGGCCTTGGTTTTAAGGTGCAGATCATCAGGGCCAGGAGAGAAGATTTGGCAACATGGAGTCGTTTGGTGAGCGTCAGCAGGTTTCACCGGTAATCTGCTAGAGCACTAAAACACATACTTCCAAAGGTTGCCTTCTTTCAGTTCACTGAAAAATAAAAGGAGCCCCAAGGCTGGACCAAATAACATACATAAATAACACATGCATGCCTGCATGTGTTATTTATGTATGGGCACATGTTTATAGCATGCATGCATGTGTGCTATGTGTATATACCATGCACTTGCACACATATGCTGTGTGTGCAGCACACCAGATGCCACAGATATGGTGGTGGCAGGGTCACTGACAGAGAGTTGGGGAGATGCAGGTGTGAGGCAGGCCTGCTTGGGAACAGGTAAATCACTTAAGGACACAGTGCTTTTCATCTGCTTTGCTGCTCTTTTCCTCTTAAGCAGCATGCGCTGAGATTGCAGAAACCTGAAAGATAGGCAAAGTGTGTATCCCACCTCCCCTTCCTGCCTGACTCTTAAGTAAGTTTTCTTTAAGTATCTTTTTCTTCAGCCTCAGGAAAAAGAGGACCTTAGAACTGAAGGAGCAAGGATCCAACATCACGCTGTTTTTGTTAGCTGCCTATGTGTGTTTGTTTGCTGTGTATCCAAAAGACAGAGGAGATGAACAAGCAAAAGAAAAGAAACAAGGAATCAGATTGGAAAGACAGTATGAGTTTGTACTTATGAAATAAAACTTCTGTCCCTCTACACAGGACCCGGAGTCTGTCCCAATTTCCTGTCTCTAACCTCACTGTAAGTGCTGACCCACTTCTGGCTATTTTTATTTGTTTCTTTGAAAATGCTCACTGTGATTGGAGTTGACTTGCCGACTCTGTTCTGTATCCTTCCCACCACCTGAGTCCCAGAGGGCAGCGCTTCCCACCTCATGCCAGTAATTATGGGTGAACATAGAGCCAAAGGATGGCAGGGTTTTGTTGGTGGTGTGACAAATGGTGACCCCTTTCCTCGCAATCAGAGACACAGGGACAAGCAGCTTGCACCTGCACGTGGAGCTTTGCACATAGCCTTTTGCCTGATTTTCCTCTGTGAGGCAGGCCCCCTCCACAAAAGATGGGCACCTTCCCATGTTCCGGAATTCTTGGGGGTGCGCTGACTCCAGGCTCTTGCCCCAGCTTTGGGCCTGGGGCAGTGAGCATGTGTAGTTACTTATCTAGGATTGCAACCTGAGTCAACAGTGAAACCAGGAAGTGAACTCGGGGTCCGGCATTGTATGGAAAGTTGGGTGTATTTACTTTTCTCTTAAAGCAAACTTTGATTGACTCTTTAATAAGTTACCATGGAGGATATAGTTCTGGTGAGATTTGACTTGGCATCCAAATCTAAGTCACATATTGATAATGGAGGAGAGGAACAGGGAGTCTTTTACGTTTTTCCAGTTTTATCATTAACCCCAAGTTCAGAAATCTGTTTGCTTTTAAAAGTGTCAGTTTCCTCGTTTAGGAAGGTGACAGTTCTCTACTGATGATGAGGTTTTTTTTGATAGAGTCTCGTTCTGTTACCCAGGCTGGAGTGTAATGGCACGATCTTGGCTCACTGCAACCTCTGCCTCCCGGGTTCAAGCGATTCTCCTGCCTCACCCTCCCAAGTAGCGGGATTACAGACATCCACCACCATACCTGGCTAATTTTTGGTATTTTTAGTAGAGACGGGGTTTTGCCATGTTGGCCAGGCTGGCCTTGAACTCCTGACCTCAGGTGATCCTTGGCCTCCCAAAGTATTGGGATTACAGACGTAAGCCACCGCATCTGGCCTGATGAGGTACTTCGATGTCCTTTGTGGAAAGGCCTTATCACCCAGCTGGCACCCAGCACTGTGGGAACCTCTGGCGGGGCTGTGTGAGGAATTAGAGTGACCTTGACTTCAGACAGGCCCGATGTGGGTCTCGACTCTGTCACTTACGGTGTCACCTGAGGAATCCCTTCTCTTCTTTGGCCTCAATGTCCTCCTCTGGGAAATGAGAGTAAAAAGTCTCTCTCTTGTAAGGTTGTTAGAGGGCTCGGCGTGGAGATGGATGTGAAGGGCTAGCAGGGGGTGTGGAACGTAGCATGTGTTTGGTGGGGCAAGCTATCAGAGTTATTTATGACTCAAATCATTTTAATTGTGGGCCATAAAATTTCTGTTTTCTCTTTCCAGAGATTTCTCCAGGACGTTACCTGTAGGAGGTACACAGTGTGAGGACACACTCTTTGCTTTTCCTACTTGGGTCCGCATGAGTGTCTGGAGCTGCCCTTCGAGGAAGGGAATAGAAGAATGATTCTGCCTCCCTGCTGAGAGGGACGTGGGTCCTGCGGGTGGTCGGGGTGAAGCTTCCTCTCTTTTCTGCTGACAGCATTTCCTCATTAAATGCAGAGATCTGCAAAAAGGGAAAACAAAAACACAAGAAGAAAAACGAGGCATCAAAGACCCTCCTCTTATGCCCATGGGGATTTGGAGGACGTGCTGTTTCTTTACTTTCCCAAAGGGCCCAAGAAGAGCTTCCGGGGAGAGGGAGAACACCCTTTTAGGGGATTCCCAACAGGCCTGTGTCCCGAGGCTCCTGTAGGAGAGGTAGTAACTAGGGTGCAGACCATTTTCTGTGTTACAGGCATCCAAGGAGAGAAGAGAGTGACCCCTTATGACTTGGGAGGCCCATAACGATGGGGTCCTGGATGAGCAGTAGCAAGGAGGGTACGGGGATGGGTGTGCCTCGGGGGCTGACAGTGAGGACAGCATTGTCCCTAGAGAGTTTAAAGACAATCCAGCTCCAAGTCAGACTGCTTTTAAACCATTTTAATTGCCACACACCAGTAAGTTCAAACAATATCAGTGATAAAATCTCCTTCCGTTGGGCAGCCAGTCCTTCTGCTCCCTCCTGATGTGTCCTGAGTGAGTGGGGATAGGGAGGAGCTAGTGTGGCCCGAAGACAAAGGAACCTGAGATATTTCTTTCCTCTTCCAAGCAAGAGAGGCTGGAGACAGCAAATGAGTGCTCAGGGATCCTTGGGGGTCAAAAGAGTGACCTGAGAGAAAGGAAGAGAGGGGAACTGCCACACCTCCTTGAGGGGAGCACCGCAGGCTCTGCCTTGCTTCCCCACCCGTCTAGAAGGAGGGTCTGGAGTGGAGTCCATGAGGGGCTGGGTGGGCCTGGGGCCCTACTTTGGAGGGAATGTGGTAAGCAGACCATACAGGCAAGCAGACAGTCCTGGAGGTTGAGGGCGAGACAAAGAACTGCAGTATCCTCTGTGTCTAAAGACACCTTTGCCTTCTGTCCTGACCCACAGATGGGCACTTCTCCTGCCCTGCCGTGCTTCTGCCATTTCTGGTGGAAATAGCTCGAAAGACTCCTGCTTCTCCACCGAGCAGGGGCATTTACCCATTACGACCCCCTGGCGAAGTGACACGGTTATGCCCATTTCATAGACGAGGAAATGAGGCCCAGAAAGGGGCAGGAATCTTCCCCAGCTGGGAAGCGGTGGATCTGGGACTTGTTTGCCCCAGAGGCTGCCACCTGGACACCTCACTGCCCTCAAAGGCTGACGGGGTCCCCAGCAGCTGTAACCATTTCTTTTGAGTGCTTCTCATTGTGTGGAAAATCATTTTGGGGGTGCACAGAGCTCCCAGTTTGCTGTGATTCAGCACAACCCTGGCGTGTCACCAATGGGAGGTGGCCTTGATGGGCATAGTGCCAGCCAGCCAGAGACCCTCAATGAACAGGGGGCGTTCCAGAGGTCCTGGTGTTTTCTGCATGGCAAGACTCCTACAGAGAGGCCAGCCTGGTTTTCAGACAACAGTTTGCATTTCCGGTGGCCCTGGGGGCACATGTTCCTGTTGGATTCCTGCACTGGAAGTGAACTTGTGGGGCCGGGCTGCCAGCAGTGCCTGCCTTGTGCCGGGGCTTTTTTGGTATGGAAAACCTCAGAGAGGCGTCACCGCCATCTCTTTTTTGCTCAGGATTTGCTCATCTCTCCCACCTGCTTTTTGGGGCTCAAGGCTGGAAGAAGCCTCAGGACATAGGGGAAATGTCCACCTGCTGAGCAGGACCCGGTGTGAAGGAAGAAGCCTTCTTCTGATTCCTCATGGCCCAGCCACCCCTCGCCTGAGCTGAGCCTGGCCACAGGGCCCGCCTGCAGGAAGGGCTGGCCCACGGCTTCATTGTGCTCAGGCTGTGCTAAGAGCCCAGGGTGAGGACCTCCAAGCCCCGGAAGCCTCAGTTGGCCAAAGTGCTAGATGCACGTGATCTGCCTTCATCCCTGCTTCCCTCGGAGCTTGCATTTTTCCAAATTCAAGAGAGGCTCCACCTTTGAGAAGACCTGCCTGTCCCGGTTATTTATGTGTACCCTATCTCCCTTTGTTCTGCAGAGCGGTGTGCATAAAAGGCTTTTGGGGAAGGGGAGAAGTGCGGCTCAGTGACTTGCACAGGAAATTGGAAATTGGATCCCAGGTCTACCCCCAGTCCTCTGACTCATGCTTAAACAAACCCAACACATGCCCTGACCTTTGCTCTCTCCCTCTATTGCAGGCCGTACCTGCCAGCAGCCCGCTCTCCTGGCCATGCTGCGGCTCACAAAAGTCCAGCATTTGGCTAGCTTCCTGGGGGAATGAATCTCTCCGAGCCAAACTAATGCTATGCATGCAGCCTATGATTTTTTTTTTTTTTTTTTTTGGTCTTCCACAAAGTGAATACTTACTTTTTTTTTGCTCTTTAAATTGTCATCCATTATATTCATCAACACAGAGAGATGGAACACATTTGGCAAAATTATTTTAAGTAGCACTCCAACCTGTGATCGTAATTTCAAATCAAGGAATTTACTGAGCAGCTGTGGGGAAGAACAAAGGGCCTGAGAGTGATTTAGGGCCTGGGGGAAGGGAGGTGGTGGAGTTGAAGGCCCCAGCCGGTAGCAGAAACAGCTGGGGAGGTAGGTTGTGCACACCCGTGGGGGAGCCGGCCTTCTCAGCCCTGCCATCCCATCCACACATGCCTCATCAGAGAGTTTTCATCTGCTGAACATACCACATGTAGCACTTCAAAACAGATAAACTAAGCAGAGGATTCAGATTCAGTTTAATACCCTTGCCGAGAACTTCGGCTCAGGAGTTGGACAGGCCTGGCCTTGAATCCTGGGTCTGCCACTCACCGGCCTCAGTTGCATCATCTGTAAAATGGGGCTAATGTAGCAATCACTTCATAGGGATTACTATGAGGTTGAGTGTTTATTTGACCCAGTCACTGGCATAGAACAAGTGTTCAAAATACTATTATCATCACAAATATGCAGAAATGTTCAATGTATACACTCGGTTTTTGCAACCAATTAATTCAATGAGCATCTATTGAGCACCTGTTATATGTTAGGTGCAGGGCTGGGTGCTGTTTGGGTACAAACATGTAAAGCATAGGAATTAATATGCTATTAGATAAACTAAAAAGACTTCTATTGACTTAAAAAGTAATAATGACTTCCAATCATATTTAAGTAATTAACAAAAGAGCCTTTTTTTTTTTTTTTTTTTTTTCTGTTTTTGAGATGGAATCTTGCTCTGTCTCTCAGGCTGGAGTGTAATGGTGCTATCTCAGCTCACTGCAACCTCTGCCTTCTGGGTTCAAGCAATTCTTGTGCCTCAGCCTCTGGAGTAGTTGGGATTATAGGTGCACCACCATGCCCGGCAAATTTTTGTGTTTTTAGTAGAAACAGGGTTTCACCATGTTGCCCAGGCTGATCTTGAACTCCTGACCTCAGGTGATCCACCAGCCTCGGTCTCCCAAAGTGCTGGGATTACAGGCGTGAGCCACCGCGCCCAGTTGAAAGAGCCTTTCTTGACAGATGGTCTATTAGAAACAATTTGAAAAGAAAATGTAGAGTTGAAAAAAATAAGAAGGAAGCTGCATTCTTTTTAATTGTTTCTGAACTTGTTGCTTTTCAACACAACTATTATCTAAATTAACTTAATTTCTTAACATAAGCCTTGCTTCATACCCGGGAAGCTTCAATCAGCTAATTTGCAGATAATCAGACCTGTTTACAAATAGTCTGGTTTGTCTGAGTGACTTTCGGTGACACATGCATACTTAGAAAGGGTATCATTTGCCGGGGATTAGCCAGTTCTGCTGAATTACAGTCTTCGGAATTAGAAGTCATCTAGTTCAACCTTTCATCCTTTTAATAGAATTTCTGGTAGATAACAGCTGAGCTTCTGCTCAGACTGCTAGAAATGGAGAACTTACTACTTCAAAACGTAGATACTGCCCGGGTTGAACAGCTCTAAATGTTCAAGATGGAATAATTAATAGTAAACTAATTGAAAAGAATTTGCATAGCACATCTCAAGGACAAAAATCCCTTCTGTTGTTTTTTCCTTTGGTCTTGGTCTCCATCTCTGTCATTTGGTGGTGTTTGGACTGCCTGTCTGTCTTCCCCTTTTACTCCGAGCGGCCGCCTGCCCTCTGCCCCCTGCCCCCGGGGGAACAACAATGGCTCTGATCACAATTGAGTGGCCAAGCGTATCATGCCGTAGAAGTTTGGAGCCAACACTCAGTTCAAGTTGCTCCTCTCCTTGTTCTCTAGGTTGGCTCCACTAGGTTCTGCTTTCTTGGAAAACAACAGTGAACTTTGTTTAGCCAAAACCCTATTTCCCAAGCTGATATTTGCTCACTGGCCTCCCCTCCTCCAGCTGCTCCCAACTGCTGACCACTTCTTGAGCACACTGCTAGCTGCTTCTGCTGTTCCAGCACTTCCTGGAAGGCAGCTGCAAGTGGCCGAAGCAGATGGAGCCCAAGCCCTGTTGCTTGTGGCCTTGGCTTACTGAGCCTGAATCCACAACCAGATCATTAGAAAAGGAACGGTGTGTGTGCCCACCTTTGAAGCCAGCAGGCCAAAAGAAGGGTGAGCAGGACAGCGCCATAACACCTAGAGTTACTGTGTTTGGTTCACACTTCTGGTTTCCTGCAGAATTGTTAGAATTTTTTAAAAAAGGAAGCAGCAAGTTGAGAGCAACTAAAGTAAAAAGAGAAAAGTGATACAAAGGGAAAGGTTTATTTTTGGAGCTCTTAGATTCTGAAACTCCTTCTGACTCTTTTATCCTTTTACCTCTCCCATTCTCCTCACTGGGCTCTTTGTCCTCACGGGGACTGTGCGTCTCTGATCTCACTCTAGCTCTGGGTCCCTTAGGCTCCTCTGGCTTTCTGGCTCCTGGAGTGAGCCCTTTCAATGAGGCCCTCCCTCAATTTCCCATCCCTCTTGTTCTTCTGCCATCCAGACTCATCACAGCCCAAATCGGAGACTGCTGGCTGCACGGCTGGCTACTCAGAGCGGCTGGAGACAGCCATGCCCCAGGGCGACTTGTTCCACGGTGATCTGACTGGTTCACCCAGGGGTCTTGGACCTCACAGACCTCATCGGGAACATCCAAT